TGTGAGTTTTAAAGGAGTTTATCAGTACACAGGGATAGTTTTACTTCTTTGCAATCTGGATGCCTTTTATTTTTATTCCTTTTTCTTGCCTAGTTGCTCTGACTAAAACCTTCACTGCAGCGTGAACGGTAGTGGTGAAAGCAGGCATCCTCGTCTTGTTTCTGATCGTAGGGGGACTTTCACCGCAGAGTGTAGTGTTAGCTGTGGGTTTTTCATAAAAGCTGTTTGCCAGCAGTAGTTTCAGTTCTCTGAGCATGAGTTTTCCTTATCTGTCATTTGCCTTTTTTTCCCCAACAGATCCATTCCTTCACCTTTCCCAGCATCTCGGGAAGGGCTGCGTTTCCTCCCTGGTGCCAGCCTTAGTCAGGCGGCCTCCACAGTGGGCAGTCCAGGCTCTTCCTGGACCCTCTACTTCTAGAGGCAGAAACGGATTCCTCCTGAAGCCCCTCTTTGAGTTGTCTCTCTACCCCTGTTTGCTCTCCCATGACCTTTTCTAGTAGTTTATCTTGTGAAAGCTCTTCTACTGAATCATTAGGTGTGGGCTGCTTTCCTGCTTGGACTCTGCCTAGGACACATGGAATTAAGGACCCCTATTGTCACATCTGTATATGGTGACAGATCATATCCTGGCAGTCAGTGCACTTCTCTTCATCTCCATGGGAATCATCCTCGTCTTGCTCAGATTATGGTAAAAGTGTTCGAATAGTTCAATATCCCTTCTTGCTCCTTTCCAATGTCATCTTCATTCAGCAGCCAGAACAATTGTACCTGTTCAGGTGTAAATGAGTGCAGGTAACAGAAACTTTCTGTCTTGTAAAATATGGAAATTTATTCTATCACAAGATGTTCAGACTCTTCAATGATGCCATCCAGAGCCACGCTTATTCCAATATCTCTCCGCCGTCCTGTTGTCCTGAGGCTGCTGTCCTTTGGGGTGGGGACGGCTGTCTGTGGAAACTGGGGCAACTCCTTTCCTGTTCACACACAGTGAGAGGGCTAGAGATAGAGATGGGGGTAGAGAGAAGGAGAGAAGGAAAACCGGTTTTTCTGGCATGGAATGTAAATAATTTCCTTCACTCTGGGGCAGCTCAGGCCACGGTTGGCTCCTCCAACTTCTCAAATCAGTCATAGTTTTCAGTGGCACAGTTCAGATGTGTCATCCTGTCTCTGTGGCGTTGGGAAGGGAGTGGATACCCACGCTAAGCCAGATTCCTGTTGAGTGCGGAAAGTGAAGTGGGTGATGGTCCATTATCTTTCCAGGAATTTAGATCAGATCATATCCTTCTGGCGCGTAAAAGACTCTGCTAATTTTCTGTTGCTCTTAGAATCATATCAGGAGGTCTGCAAGGCAAAGGCAATCTCACCTCCTCTTTCTCTTTGGCCTAATCTGTCATTTTCTGTCTGCATCTCCCCTCAATTGCTCCAGTTACGACAACTTTGAAAAACTCCCGAGGAGTCTCTGGCTTTGTGCCCCTATTCTCCTATCTACCTAGGTGGCTCGTCCTTGCACCTAGCCGCACTCTTTATCTGGCTGCAGCCTCTTGGTTGTGCAGATTTCAGCACACACCTCACTTCCTGAGAGAGCCTTTCCGACCACCCGACCCAGTTATTCTCTTCTATGCCAACGTGTATTTCTTTCTTTTCATAATATGAAATGTATTTTATAACTACAGATTTATTTTTATGGTTTTTTATTTAATGTCTGTCTTTCCAAGTAAATCAGGGGTTGGAAAAGTTTTTCTGTAAAAAATCAGACAGTATTTTAGGCACTGTGGGCCATCCCATCTCTGTTACAAGATCATTGCAGGTGCAGTGTATGTACGTGTGTGTGTGAAAGTGTGTGCGAGTGCATGCATGTGTGAGAGCATGTGTGTGTGCATGCATGTGTGAGAGCATGCATGTTGAGTCTGTGTGTGTGTGTGTGTGTGTGTGTGTATGAAGGGACACAGATCTGAGGCAAGACATAGTGGGAGAAGGGGATAGTTAGGGGGTCACTGTCTTAAGGATGTCAGGAATTCTTGGGACGCAGCCTAAGCCAGGTTTGGTAGTTTTATTTTTGTTGGTGCCTGTTAAGAGAAAGTCTCATAATTAAGACTTAGTGGATGAAGTGGATTTTTCCAACTCAGATATGAATCCTTGATGCCCTTGTTACCCCAGTCCATTCTCCACAGTGACTGAAGTTATCTTTCAAAAATGCAAAACTGTCCCCACTACTTGCCTCCAGAAGATACTCAGTGGCTGAGTTGCTCTCGGAGATGTGTTCATGCCATCAGTGTCACCGAGAGCCTGCTTCATGCCAGGACTTGGGCCCCATGCTGGAGTCACAGATGTGGGCAAGACACCCTGGTTTCTGATTGTCAGGTTTCAGTTGCTTCACATGTGTCATTCAAGCATCTTTCGATCCAGGCTCAGCCTCCTTTTGGGTCACTTCCCACCCCCTAGACTGTAGTCACACTATTTTCTAAAAATGCTGCCTATTGCCAAACCCTTATCTTCCACTTTTTCTACCAAACTTTTCCTAAATCCCTTATTTGGGAAATTATTCCCTTCTGGCTGCCACAAAATTTAGTCAAATAATTTGTATAGAAATTATCACATTTTATTATTATAAGTTGCTTTTTTAATCCATCCAACCCACTCAATTACGTATGACTCGAGGGGAAAGGGTATGCCCTGCTCACGCTTGGATTGCCAAGGGGCTAAGCAGGGTACCTGGCATAACTCAGCAAAATCTGGGGCAATTGTTGCATTGACTGACTTACAAAACAGACATAACAGATAGCTCTTTTGACTATATCACAAAACAATTAGAGGCACAAATAATATCATAGGTGTGAAAGCGTGTAGAAAATATTACATAATGCCATGTAAACGTAAGGTGACACTATACACGATTATGTGTACAAATTACAATATCATTACATTGTTCATTTCCTGTTCCCTGGAACAGTTCCCATGTTAGACACTGATGCGGAGTGGTTGACACCTACTGATAAACTGCAGGACCGAGTCACACATAAAGTTTAGAGTTGCCATTTAGGCAGCATTGTCTGTAGTGATTCCTGTTCCTTCTTAGTCCAATTTTTACTCACCTTTTATTCTGACACTTATCAGGGTCAGATGCATTTATACAATTCCCCTTTTTTAATTTAAACATTTAAAAATTTTTAAACAATTCTTATGCACACATAATAGTTGTATAGCTCTGGGGTACAAGTGAAGTTTTGATACAGGCATACAATGTGAATGAATCAAATCAGGGTAATGGGGTATCCATGACCTCAGGCATTTATCATTTTTTTGTGTTAGGAACATCCCAACTCCACTCTTTTAGTTGCTTTAAAGTATATCCTAACTTACTGTCGATTATAGTCGCATTGTTGTGCTATCAAATATTGCTCATTCTAACTGTGTTTTTGTACCCATTAGCCATCCCCACTTTATCCCCCCTCCCTGCTACCCTTCCCAGCCTCTGGAAACTGTCATTCTCCTCTCTGTCTCCATGAGATCATTCGTTTTTAATATTTAGCTCCCACATATGAATGAGAACATACAAGATTTATCTTTCTGTGCTTGGCTTATTTCACTTAACATAATGTTCTCCAGTTCCATCCACTGGAGATTGTTGCTACAATTCCTCTTTTTATAGAGGTATAATTTTTATACTGACATGCTAGTATGTTCCTAAAAAGTTTATAAAAACTTGAACCTTTATTTTGTAAGAGAAAGGAGAGCACAATGATGAACCCAAGAAATCAATCATGTTTTTTTTTTGTTTTGAGACAGAGTCTCACTCTCCTGCCTAGGCTAGAGTGCCGTGGCGTCAGCCTAGCTCACAGCAACCTCAAACTCCTGGGCTCAAGTGATCCTCCTGCCTCAGCCTCCCAGGTAGCTAGGACTACAGGCATGCGCCACCATGCCAGGCTAATTTTTTTCTATTTTTAGTTGTTTGGCTAATTTCTATTTAGAGTAGAGATGGAGTCTTGCTCTTACGCAGGCTGGTCTTGAATTCCTGAGTTCAAGTGATCCTCCCGCCTTGGCCTCACAGAGTGCTAGGATTACAGGCGTGAGCCACTGTGCCCGGCCTATCAATCATGTTTTGATATTGGACTATAATTGTGTACGATGTCACAACTGGGGGAAACTGGGTAAAGGGTACACAGGACTTCTCCGTACTGCCTTTTCAACTTCCTTGAACTCTATAATTATCTTAATTTCCAAATGAAAAGTTTTTTAAAAAATCGCTCATAATGGTAGGTTTGCATGTGCCCTGTGTCCCCACACTTTTGTGTCTGGAGAGCCTTGGGCGTTCTGTTCACCACCGCCAAAGCCACTGCCTGGGGTCAGCAAAGAGGCAGAGATGGAAGGAAAGCCATGCTCACGGGCTGTCAGCGCTGGGTGGAGACTCCGCCCCCAGGGCCATGAGGCCGTCCCCTAAGCCCTTCAGTGCCCTGTCTCACCCTCTCAGGGAGTAAGTACCTCCTGGGTCTTGCAATCTAAAAGGGAAACACTGCCCCTCTTTCCCCATCTCCCCTTGCCAGCTTTATTTGTCCTCATGCACTTACCACCTTTAACTTACTATATATTTTTTTACTTTATTTTAGTTTTTGTCTCTTCCCAGTAGAATGTAAGTTCTATAATGGCAAGAATTTTTTTTTTAAATGTGTCATTGTATCCTGATTGTCTAAAGCAGAATTTGGCACAGAGAACACACTCAGCAAATGCTCGTTGAATGAATGAATGACTCTTTGTAAAAAATGAAACCTTGACAAGAAGCTGACATTTCCCCGAGAGAGAAGTAACTCAAGTCTGCCCATCCTTATGTGAGAACAAACCTATCTTTGAAGCTAAGACCTTTTTCCTGTGTTCATACTTCAGAAAAAGAAGACACGACTGATAATATCTGAGAGGAAGGAAACAGTGCATGGTGCTGGGCCTCTGCATGTAACATTATAAAAATTAATTTTTTTATAGACCAGCCTTTCAAACGATTTCCAGAGATGGATTATTTTGCTTTCCTTTTGGCTATTCTTCATGTATACAAAGGTAAAGATAATCTTTATGTCTTCATTTTAAAAATTTGCTCCGTTTTTGGTCTTACAGCATGACATGTTCAGAGTTTATAATGCTCTTTAAGTGGCTTAGATAATTTCTCACTTGTTCAGAAAAACTAAAAGTTGCAATTGCCAATTATCAGCGGTGTAAACCTTTTTAGACTAAGGTAGAAACTGTCAGCTGTTACCATGATCTCAGTTTGCAATCTTGCTAGGTCTTTAGAAAGCCTAAGGTATGTATTTGGTGTCTCCATCATTAAGCCTAACTGAGTTAATGTGATGTTGTATATTTCAGCTCTCTGTGAAGAGATATTTTGGGACACGACTGTTAAACTTGCTGAGAATATGACTCTGGAATGCGTGTATCCATCCACGGACATCTTAACGCAGATGGAGTGGTTCAAGATCAACTTAATGGAGAGGGAGGCCATAGCCATTTTCAGCCCTACTCACGGTGTGATCATCAGGGAGCCTTACGCTGATCGGGTTTCCTTTTTGAATTCCACGATGGCTCCCAATGATATAACCCTTTCTTTTCACAACGCCTCCGAAGCTGATGTTGGCTACTATTCCTGCTTCCTTCACACTTTCCCACAGGGAACTTGGGAAAAGGTGATACAGGTGGTTCCGCCAGGTAAGGGTAAGTTTTATTTTCCTTTTTAATCCACCTACCACATTCAATTCTATAAAGCCCAAGGAGAAGCTACAGAATACTTTATCCTATTTCAGTGGCATTTCCCAATTCCATTTCTAGATGCCATGATGTTATTGTTTCAGAGCGGTGATACTGTGAATCAGTTTCGTTTTTCTTAATGCGTTGTCATTTCTGAGCAGATGTCTCACAAATTTGCATGTAGTGGGAGAAAGTACAGGTTTTATGTTGTCTCAGTGCTAACTTGAGCCTAGATCAAATTGATGTTGGCAACATGTGGGTTCAGAAGCCACGTCCCTCCCAGTGAGGCTGTGCCATTCCCTTGGCCGGGCACTCAGCACTAACTTCAGTCCCTGGATGTCGAGGGTCCTTTCTGCAGCACTGAATCTAAGCTTATTATTACAGCGAATCCTGGGCGGAGTTCAAACACTGGCTCCATCTTTCGCCTCGCCCAAGTTTAGTGAGAGAGGACACTTTCTTCAGGAATTGCTAACTGTTGTGTTGGAAAGAATCTAATGATTTCTTGGAGTGTTTTCTGCTAGTTTGGTCTTTCTAGTAATGGCCACATAGAGTGGGTATGGTGTATTAGAAAAACTTGGGTTTTATAGACAGTACTTTCCATACAACCTCGTGTTAGTTGCTTGATTCCTCCAAATCTCAGGTTCCTGAATAGCAAATTGAGTTAGTAATGCCATTCTACCTGTTGAATGGTTTAGGGACAATATATTTAAAGAACTTGGCCCATGGTAGTTAGAGAATGATCGGTATTCTCATGACTTGTTATTTCCTATGCTTTTGATACAAAATGACTAATGATGAAATTTTTAGATATCACTTATAGTCTAAAGGAGAGAATATTTTGGGACTGTGTGTTCTTGTCTGGTTTCTCTCAAGTTATGCCCTATGGTCATAGAGAAGAGAACATTATAGGACATCTGGTATAGTGCTTTACTTTTAATGGAACCATATTCTAAAAGAACAGTTCCAGTATTTTGTGAGGCATATCAAATGGTCAGGGGGTAAGAAACATTTCCATGTGTTTAGTTTTCCCTTTCTCTTAGGTGTAGCTAAGCTCAAGACTAATTTTGTGCATGTTGCTGAGTCTTACAGGGTGTCAATTAGCAAAACCTCTTTAGTTAAATGTTTATGTATTGAACAATGAAGTTCTCTTGTGCTGTCATGTGCAGACATCTGTTAAATGCTGTTTGCAAGTTTTTAGTGTATAGTCCACATTTGATCAGTCATGCAAGTGAAGGAGACAATTTGCAAGGGTCTTAAAACAGAATGAGCCCTTGACACCTACCCTGAGCCACCAAGGCCAGAGCAAATCGGGCTGACCCTCCCTGCTTTATGTGGCGAGCCTTTGTGGTTTGGGTCCCAGATTAGGTCAAAGGGCAACCAATTAAAAACAGGTAGCTCCACCTTTTCTGAAAGTTAGGATAGAGGTGGAGCTAAACTGTAGAGAAATAAATGAGGGTTGCCACGCCAAGGTAGGACTTTTAGCATCATGTGTGAACAGTTTGGGAAATATTTTCTATTTTTATCATGCAGATTTATTACTCCTGCTCAATTTTTGAGGTTAGGAAAAGAGAGCTCTTGCTTTTAAAAAACAATTTTACCCAAAGGAAAAAAAGACATTTTATAATAAAGACATGTACACTTGAATGTTTATAGCAGCACAATTCACAATTGCAAAGATGTGGAAACAACCCAAGTGCCCATCAATATATGAGTGGATTCATAAAATGTGGTATATGTATACCATGGAGTTCTACTTAGCCACAAACACAGTGGTGATCTAGCACCTCTTGTATGATCCTGGATGGAGCTGGAGCCCATTCCTCTAAGTGAAGTATCTCAAGAATGGAAAAACAAGCACCACATGTACTCACAATCAAATTGGTACTAACTGATCAACTCGTATGTGCACATATGGAAGTAACATTCATCAGGTATCGGGCAGGTTGGGGGGAGGGAGGGATGGGTAAACGTACAAATAACTAGTGCAGTGCACACCGACTGGGGGATGGGCATGTTTGTAGCTCTGACTCGGGTGGTACAAAAGCAATACATGTAACCAAAGCATTTGTACCCCTGTAATATTCTGAAATTAAAACAAAATAAATAAGTATAAAACAACAGTGAGATTTTCAGTCAGTGGCCAGTCAGAGAAGGGGGTGCCTGGCTCTCCATCTTGTTTAAATTCTTCATGATAGTATCCTTAGTCACATTTTGTTGCTGTTGTTTTTGATCACTTATATTTTTAATGAACAGCTTGATATTTCGGGCCAGTGGGAGTGTTCTACCCTATTTCGAGATTTGGAGGGCTGCAGTTTTTTGAATCAAGAATGATAGTTTAAAAAATATATTAGTTGTATTTGAAAATCAACCTTAAATATACTTAAATTTTTCCTTAGGTGCTTTATTATAATAACAACATACCAGGATCTATAAATATTGTGTTTTCTTGTACTGTCAAGCAGGAGTTGACAATCTTATTTAATAATTTTAAAAATCAGACTTGGAATCCAGCAATCCTAATCTGTGTAATAGATTGTTAAGAACTTCAAAACGATGAAGGGATTATTGACATAGGTGACGTGGGGGTCACCCGGGGGACGTGGGAGTGCCCTGGGTTCCTGAAAGGAGGCGACGTCGGCTATTGCACCTCCGTTGGTGCTCACCCGCTCAGAGCTTCCAGCCTAGATGAGCAGATAGGACGTCTTATTCTGGACACATGGTACTGCTAATACAAAATTACTTAAAAATGTGTGTTTGCTGCAGGATAGGTATTTCTTCATTAGTAACTAATTTAGAGAACTTAATGGTAAAAATTGTTGCGTTGATTTTTACCTACTTCGTGGGAAAATATGCTGAGGTGACTTGGGAGGCAACATTTCGAAGGCAGCCCTTCCATTGTAGAGTGTGTGGGGTCATAGGGAACGTTATTGCCACCTGTGGGTCTCTGGCCTTACCAGGAAGTTAAAGCAAATGTAGTTGTACTATAGAAATTCTCCCCAAAATGGGCAACCCACTCAAAACACCCTGCCACCTACCTTTTACAGAGAGCCTGCTCTGTATGAAGCGACTGAATGTCGTCTCATTTTAATCCTTATGAAACTCCGTGGGGAGGAGATGTTTTCCTATGATGCAACAGAAGACTCTGAGATTCAGGGCTGTTGAGTGACTTGCCCAAGGTTGCAGAGCTGCCGGGTCGCAGCACCAGAATGAACCCAGTCGCTGTTTCCGAAGTGCCAGAAACGAAGGAGAGGTTGACTCCAGCAAAATGAATCAGGGAGGCTCAAGGTACGGAAAACTCACACTGGACCTTGAGGAATCGGAAGGAATGTTTTAAGGTAGATTGGGGCGAGGGAAGGAGAGAAGATGGAGAAGGGAATCTTAGGGGGTTACTGATGGTGTGACACAGGACACAGCAGAAGCGTAAAGTTCACACAGGAGACAGAGCATGGCCCTCTTTGACTAGGGCACTGACCTCGGTTAGGATGTGGTTCTCACACTGGGCTCTGAGGCCCTTCGCTCCCACAGAGGTGGCCTAAGAGGTGGCCTCAGGGGTGAGGAAGACACTGTGAGGGTGGGACCCTCTCCCTGCTTGCACCATCAACGGGGCTCAATGTATGGTATTTTGGGGTCTCAGGTAAGGCTTTGGTACAGTAGATTCTGTGTTAAAGAAAAGAATTTTGCAGCCCACCAGGACAGCAGAATGTTAGGGACAAACCTAGAAAATTAGTATGGCCCAGATCTGTATGAGCCTAGTGGAGTTTGAACTTCAATCTATAATGTAGACCATGGGACATCTCTGAACATTTTTTAGAGAGAAACACCTAAGAAACCATTTTTTTTTCTTTCACCACCTGGAAGATTAAACTTTCTGCAGCTTTATAGGAGGGGAGGAGTTCAAGGGCAGGGTAGGGTTCCATAGGCTGGAACTCTTATGCACTGCTAACAGAACTGTAAATTGGTATAGCTGTTATTTTAGTCAGAGAAGCAGAGCCAATGGGATGTGTATGTAGATATGGAAAGAGTTATTATAAGGAATTGGCTCAGGCAATTGTGGGGACTGGTTAAGTCCAGATTTTCAGTGTGGGCAGGCAGGCTGGAGACCCAGGAGACTGGATGGTGCAGAGGAGGCCCAAAGGCAGGCTGCTAAGAAATTCCTTCTCATTTGGGAGACCAGTCTTTTTGTTCTTTCAGGCCTTCAACTGACTGGATGAGGCCCACCTATGCGATGGAAAACAATCTGCTTATTCAAAATTCATCAATTTAAATGTTATTCTCATCCAAAAACACCATCCAACTCGACCCATAAAATTAACCATCACATCTGTTTTGGAAAATGATATGTCATTAGCTAAAGAACCCCAAATCCTATGATCCAATAATTCCACTCTGTTTGAGATCCCAGAGATTGCTCATATATCCGAAAAATTCCCGACAATGTTTATAGCAACAGTGATTGCAATAGCAAGTATTTGGTAGCAACTCAAATACCCATCATCAGCAGAATGGACAAATACTTTGAGGTCTGCTCATACAATAGGATACTCTGCGTCACTAAAAATGAATGAATGATCACTATGGTCACCAGTGAAGATGAACCTCAGGAATATCATGTTGAAAGAAAAGAGCAAGTTACAAAAAATAGGTGGGATATGATTCCTTTCCTTCAAAGGTTTTAGAAACTTGAAAAATTAAGCAATTTGCTATTTGTAGGTACAAATATGTAGTAAAACTTTAAAGAAAAGCAAAGTTCTGAAACATGGACAGGTGGGAGATAGAATAGAATTAGGAAGGGCTACAAAGGTCTTCAAACTTCATAGTCAAGGTGTTTTTCTTATACAGGGGGTTTTCCCATTTGTCTCAAAATGTTTTAGAAAAATTTTTTTTCAAATCTACTGATTTCTATTACAAATGGTGAAAAGAGATGCAATTGCAATTTTTGAGCAATTCAAAGATAATTATCC